AAATAATAGTTCATTACAATCCATCGGGGTTAGGAGTTTAATGACACAATGAAAATTATTGTTTCGTTCACAAAAAAAAATTTCCTTTTTTCATTTCCTTTTACTATTTTAAAAAATAATTCTTTTTATTTATTTCAATAATTTTATTTTTAAAATTAATCTATTGTTAAGTTAATTAACTTTTTCGTAAATTAATTAATTAACTTATTATTAATAAATTAATTAATTAATATAACTTATTACTAAACTAATTAATTAACTTGTTGCTAAATTAATTAATTAACTTGTTACTAAATTAATTAATTAACTTATTTTTAAATTAATTAATTAATTAAATTTATTATTTATTTTATCAATTTTCTTATTTAACGTAAATGAATAAAATTAATAATTGAAAAACCATTTAAGTAAAAAATTCAACTTTTTCTTTTACTTTCAAGTAAAAGTATTCCAAAAAGGATTTTTCGATTGTAAGCAAATTGATTTGCAATTATCATACAGAAAATTACATTAATATTTGACACAAAATGACGAGTTTACATAAGATCAGTAGAAGGATAAACAGGTTTGTAACTGCACTTTTTTTCCTGTCACACATCGTCGTTTATGCGAATTCAAAATAAAATGTCGTGTAACACATCTTTTACAGAAATTACTCATACACGATCAATGAACATGGAAAAATATTTTCTAATCATCTTTCTCCAATTTAGCAAAAAAAAAAAAAAAAATTCTTTATAAATTGTGTCAATCGAATACATTCCTGAATCAATATTAATATACAGTACGCGCAGTAATTTTTAAATAATAATAATTTTAAAAAAATTCCATCATTCAAATAAAAAAAAAAAATTATAATAAAAACATTGAGAATTCAAGAAATCATTAGTCCAAAAAATAAAGTACGCACGAGATTTTTTTTTAACAACTTTTTTCAAATCATTGCAAAATCATGAAGACTATTAAAGAACAATAAACATAATTGAAACACATTAAACTACTATAACAGTTATTAAAAGCTATTAAACTACTATGAGACTTATCATAAGATCTTACCGATCGTATATTAAAATTAGAAATTCCAATGAATGATTCAATTATATGTCAGATTGCAATATATAGACAAATGCGTGGAACTTTTATTATTTTCAGTAAAGATGAAATGTCAAAAAAAAATAAAAATAAATAACAAATTCTTAATGAAATGAAAAGTTTTTCGGTAAAATTCTTATTTACATTCTAAACGCCTACAAGAATAACTGTAATGTAATTTTATTGTACTTTTATTCGCAACAGAAAATGAACTTGAAATCTCTGTTCTTAATGAAAGAGAAAATTAACATTCGAGTGTTAAGTGTTTATAGAATATCTAAGGAGGCTTTAATTCTTAGAATTCTTTTATTCAGATTTACTGTCATGAAAATTGGCAAAAAATAATTTTTTTTTTTGCAAATCTGCTAATTTTTTGGTAAAAATCATTTGCTTTTTGTTCATTGTTTATAACAATTTTTAAAATAAAAATTAAATGAATAATTAATTAATAATTAAATAAAAATTAAATACTGAACCAATTTTGATTGCTAATAAACACCGAAGATTCCAATTATTTGGAAAATTAATTGTCAAGTTTGATAATTATCTAAATATTGGATTAATTTTTATTGCCAATATTCCAATTATCTAAAACATTAACTATCAACTTTGATAATTAAATTAATTAGCTAAATATTTGACTAATTTTTATTGACAATTTTCACCCAAGATTTTAATTGTTTAAAAAATTAATTGTCAACCTTGTTAATTGGCTGAATATTGTGTCAGTTGGCTAAAAAATTTTTAAATAATTGAATTCTGTTTGAAAATGTTATGAAAATACTAAATAGTAGATATTGAAAATCATTGAATTGCGAAAAGTTTTTAAAAATAATTAAATTTTACAAAGAATTCTATTAAAATTTTTGACAATAATATTGAATGTCTGTAGTATTTTATTAAATTTTTTTGAAAATAATTGAATTTCTAAAAAGCATTTTATTATTTATGAAAATAATTGAATTCTTGCGACAGACTTTATTAGAATTTTCAAAAATAATTGAATTTCCAAGAAGAAATTTATTACTTTGAAAAATAATTGAATTCTTGTGATGAATATTGTTATTTTTGAAACAATTGAATTTTGCAAAGAATTTTATTAAAATGCCTGAAAATAATTAAATTTTCGGGAATAATTTTGTTATTTATCTTTAATAATTGAATTCTTTCGATGAATTTTTATGTAAATAATTGAATTATTGGGAAGAATTTTATTCAAATCTAAAAGAATAATTGAATTATTGTTAAAAATTTTATTATAATGTTTAAAAAGAATTGAATTTCTGTAAAAAATGTTGATATTTTTGAAAATAATTGAATTCTGAGAAAAACTCTGATATTGTTGTAAATAATTGAATTTTTCCAAAGAATTAAACAAAAATTTTTTAAATAATTGATTATTTCAAGGAATTTAAATTAAATTTTTAAGAATAATTACATTTTTTTGAACAATTCCTGTAAAATTTTTTTAAAAATAATTGAAATCCTGCAATGAATTTTATTATTTATGAAAATAATTGAATTATTGCGAAAAATTTTATTAAAATGCTTAAAAAGAATTGAATTTACGTAAAAAATTTTATTATTTTTGAAAGTAATTGAATTCTTCATAAAAATTTACAATAAAATTGCAAAAATAAATTTTATTATTTATGAAAATAATTAAATTTCTGCAATCATTTGTACCTTCTCCAAAAATTTTAATTATTATCTAAAATTTTAACTAAAATTAATTTTTAAATCAATTTGATTACAAAATATTATTTAAACAGAACAATAAATAATTTTTAAATAATTGAATTCTTATAAAGAATTATATCTATACAAAGTTTTAAATAATTGAATTGTATCGACGAATTTCAATAGAATTTTTTTTGGATTAATTGAATTCTTTTGAGAAATTCAATTAAAATTGTACTCAAACTGTTAAAAATTTTGAAATGAATACTGTTATTTATGAAAATAATTGAATTTTGCAATGAATTTTATTAAAATTTCTGAAAATAATTGAATTTCTGGGAAAAATTTTTTAAATTTATCAAGATAATTGAATTCTTATAAATTAATTTGGACGAATTTAATTAAAATTTTATTAAATAGTTGAATTTTTCGTAAGAATTTTATATGCATTGTTTTTAAATAATTAATTTTTTCGAAATATAATAAATATTATGAAAATTTTATTTTAAATAATTGAATTTTTGTGGAAAACTTTATTTGTGAAAATAATTGAATATTTCGATTAATTATTTGAAATAGTATTGAAAAAAATTGAAATTCTTCGATGAGTTTTATTATTTATGAAAATAATTGAATTCTTGCTTAGAATTTTATCAAAAAATTTTTTTTTAAAATTGAATTTCCATGAAAAATGTTATTGTTAGTGAAAATAATTGAATTGTATAAATATTTTGTTGACTATTTTTTTTTTTCAAAATTTTTTTGAAAATGCTATTCTAAATTAATTGAATTCCAGTGAAAATTTTATTATTTATGAAAATAATTGAATTTTGGATGAATTTTATCAATTTTTTTTTAATAATTGAATTCTTTTGCGAAATTTTATGAAAATACTATAGATATTGGAAATAATTGAATTATTTCGAATATTTTTTGAAAATAATTGAATTATTTCAAAGAATTTGATTATAATTTTTGAGAATAGTTTTTTTATTTCTAGTATTATCGAATTGAAAGTAGTGGAAATTCTAAAAAAAACAGAAATAGTAGCTTTTAATGGCTGAAATCTAAAAAAGTACCCAAATAGTAGCATAACGTAAAAAAAGTAGTAAATAGTAGGTTTTAGTAGATGAGTACCAAGCCTGAAATTCATTCATTATTAATCTAGTCGTCATTCTAGAAAATTATTTTTTTAAATAGAAATCTTAGGCCAATTTTCTCAATAATTTTTTTTTTTTTTTTTTTTTTATTATTGAATAATTGGAGCCAATATTGGCAATGAAAAATAGACCAATTTTAATCGTCAACCTAGGAAATTAATCTTTAAATTGAAATCTTGGGCCAATATTGGAAATAGAAAATGTTCAATATTCATTTAGTAGACAGTCTAGAAAATATTTCTTTTAAATACAAATCTTGGGTCAATATTGGCAATAAAAATTCGTCCGAAATTGATTCAATCGTCAACTTGGAAAATTGTTCTAGTAGATAATAGAAATCTTGGGCCAATAATGGCAATAAAATTTGGTCCAACATCGATTCACTCGTCAGTCTAGAAAATAATTATTTTAAATAATAGGAATCTTGGGCCAATATTGGCAATCTAAACTGCTTTAATATTAATTAAATTATCAGTCTAGTAAATTATTAAATAAGAATCTTACGCTAATATTGTCAACAAAAATTCGTTTAATATATTGATTCAGTCATCAGCCTAGAAAATTTTTTTTTTATATAAATAGTAAAATAGTAATCTTGGTCCAATCTTGGTCTTAAATTCATGTCCAGTACTGATTCAATCACCAGGCTAGAAGATTATTTAAATAAATAGAAATCTCGGGCCACTATTAACTTCAAGAATTGTTCACAATTTCCAAATTTGTCAATCCTGGGCCAAACTTGGGTAAATTTAGTTATTTAGGTTCCATGGCTTTTTAAGACTGGAACAGCTCGATCACGTTTATTCGAAAGTTTCCTTATCCTACTGTAATACCCACCAAAATAAAAAAAAAATACAGTTTTAATATTGTCAAAAAAATATTTATTTTTTTTTCTAAATTAAAGATAAAAAATATTTCCCCCTCCCCTTTTGTATGTGTATACACAATATGACAGAGAAGACGCGCTCTTCCTGACTCGACTCGTCTAATTACTAGCCATTCCAGAGTGGCCTATCTCTCGGCAGGCGCTCACGTATGAAAGTACATACGAGTACTATAGCTAGTCAAGGAGTAAAAGAAGTTAGCGATAGCGATATTCGTGTTGTGGCTTCGCGAGGTAAAGAGGGGTCAAATATGGGAGGAGTTCTCTTTCAAGTTCCATACGAGAGGAGAGACTGCAAAGAGTAAACCGCGGCGGTGGTGGCCTGCTCACCTCAGGTGTTTTCAGGTGGCAGTCGCCCAGCTGAGTCGCTCAGCGAAGGGCTCACACAAGCATTTTACTACTTTAGCCACTTTTTAAAAAACGAAATACACCATCATCGCCAATTTATTCTCGCACGTTTTCCACTTATTTCCACGTGCAAACTATAAACAACAACAAAAAAATTTTTTTTCCCCTCGAAAAATTTTTTTTCCTTCCAGAGCTTTTGCATTCTTCCCAGAGTATTTTCTTTTCCCAAAAAAAAAAATTTTTTTCCAAAAAGGACTTTTTTCAATAAAAAAAAAAATACTCGTTCTCCACGTGAGTTAATTTCCGGTTGAGTAAGCGAAAGTGAAGGTTAAAAAAATCGAATATTTTTTTTTACGAAAAATGTGATTTCCGATCACGTTGCAATAACATAGGCGAGAGACACGTGCGTTTGTTATTTAGAAACGAGATGCTTTTAAGTGTAATTTGTGCACGGAGGGGAAAAAAAATTGAAATAATAACAAGAACGAAGTGAAATCGATTAAAAATCTTTTTTATCGATCGATAATTTTTTTTTTATTCCCGAAGAAAAAGGGATTGAAGAAAAAAGACATTGAAGTGTTTTTTTTTCTCTGGTGGATTTTAATCAATATAAAAAGTGAACTGGAAAAAAAAATGAATGGCACGTGATATGGGCCGATAAAGAACGGGAGCGAAAGGATAAGAGTGTAATATTGTGATGATCGTTAAATAAATCGTTATTTATCGAAAGGGACTTTCGTGAAACGTGCTTTTGTTATTTGTGGTCCATTTAATAATAATCATCATGATGGGGGAAGCGATACGGGTTTCCGGTAGAGCACCGGATGTTGGGGATTTTCTGAGGGAAGCAATGCTGTCTCAAAGATTCGCCGATGTTGCTCTCTGCTGTCCCGGAGGTCCGAGATTTCTTGCTCATCGCCTCGTTCTCTCCGCAGCTAGTCCTTATTTACAGGTGAGTCGTCGAAAATCAAAATTTTAATCATTCACTTCCTGTTTTTGGTTCGCAAACAAATTTTTACCTGAAATTAAATGAAATTTCTTTCATTTAATTCTTTTTAAATTAATTTAAAATTAAATGAAATTTCTTTCATTTAATTCTTTTTAAATTAATTTAAAATTAAATGAAATTTCTTTTATTTAATTCTTTTTAAATTTTCTCCAAACTTTTTATTTCGTTTTCCTTTAATTACAATGTTTTCACTTCTTTCGAATGTTAATTTAATCGATAACAAATCAAAAAGAAAAGGTATTATTATTTTCTTCTTTTTTCTATTAACTAGAATTATTAATTAATTTATATAATGAACTAGAATTATTGTATTAACTAGAAAAGTGAGTGACTTCTCACTTACTTTTCTAAAATAAAATTAGAAATTTTAAGTAATAGAACGTAAAAATTTATTTCAATCAAATTTATTTTCATAAAAATAAAATATGAATTGGAATATATAGTTTTAATATTATTATAATTTATAATTATAATAATCATATATTCTGTCATAGGGAATTCAGGAAAAAGTCAGCAATTTTTTATTAAAATTACTGAACTATCATAAAATAAATAAATTATTCAATTAATAATTTTACTTAAATATTTCAAAATTAATTCAATTTTAAAAGAGTTGCGTTTACAATTTTCGTAAATAAATGAACTTTAAATGGTTTCAATTTTAAATTTTATAAAATTTCAATCTTGAATGAATTTTATTAGAAACTTTAATGAACATACATACATTTTTGAAAAATTTTAATAATTCAAAATCTTCTAAAATTAGTTAAATTTGTCAATAAATTTAATTAATTATAAAAAATAATGGATTTATAGAAGAATTTTAGTTAAAAACACAAAAAAAATTAAATTTTGAAGAAATTACAAATGATTGCAGAAATTCAATTATTTTCAAAAGTAATAAAATTCTTATCACAAAATTCAATTATATTCAAAATTTCCAAAAAAAAATCTCGACAAAATCCCAATTATTATCTTTATAAATAAAAAAATTCTTCAAAATTAAATTATTTTCAAAAATTTTAATAAAATTCTTTACAAAAAAAACTCAATTAAACTTTTTCAAAAAAATTAATTCTACAGTTAAAATTATGAAAAATTTAGATTTATAAAGATTTCAATTTGAAACTTTTTCCAAATTCCATTATTTCTAAAAAATTTACACTATAAAGGTTTCAATATTCAATGAATATCTAAAATTTTAACTAAATAATTGAATTCCTGAAAAATTTTTATTATTCACGAAAAGAATTTATTTCTTACAAATAGTTAAAAAAAAATGTTACAAATATAATTAAATTCTGTTTGAAAATTTTATAAAAAATAGTGGATATATTGAAAATCATTGAATTGCGAAAACTTTTTAAAAATAATTAAATTTAACAAAGAATTCTATTAAAATTTTTGAAAATAATTTAATATTGTAAAGAATTTTATTAAAATGTCTGAAAATAATATTGAATTCTTGTAATGAATTTATTGTTACTTATGAAAATAATTGAATTTCTTAAAAATGCCTCAAAATAATTTCATTTTCGGAAATAATTTTGTTATTTTTCTTTAATAATTGAATTCTTTCGAAGAATTATTTATGTAAATAATTGAATTCTTGGGAAGAATTTTATTAAAATCTAAAAGAATAATTGAATTATTTCAAAAAAATTTAATTAAAACTGAATTTAAAATAATTGATTTTTTTCGAACAATTTTATTAAAATATTTGAAAATAATTGAATTTTTCCAAAGAATTTTAAACAAAAATTTTTTTAAATAATTAATTTTTTCGAGGAAATTGAAATTAAATTTTTAAGAATAATTACATTTTTCAAGCAATTTCTGTAAAATTGTATGAAAAATAATTGAAATCCTGCGATGAATTTTATTATTTATGAAAATAATTGAATAGTTGCTAGAAATTTTATTAAAATTTTCAAAAACAATTGAATTCTTTTAAAGAATTCTATCTACAAAGTTTTAAATAATTGAATTGTATCGACGAATTTCAATTGAATTTTTTTTTTTTTTTTGAAGTAATTGAATTTTTTTGAGGAATTAAATTTAAATTGTACTGAAACTAACTGAAATTCTGGGATGAATAATTCAATTAGTTTCATAAATAACATTTATGAAAATAATTGAATTTTACAATGAATTTTTTATTAAAATTCCTGAAAATAATTGAATTTTTTGGGAAGAATTTTTTAAATTTATCAAGATAATTGAATTCTTATAAATTATTTTTAAATCTATTTGTTTACAATTTAATTGTATGAAATTTCGATTACTCGTCGAAAATTTAAATAGTTGAAGATTTTAATATTTTACTTTAGAAAAAAAATAGTTTCTAATAAAATTCAATTTGAATGAAGTAACTTTTATTTAAATAGTAATTTTTTTTATTAAAAAAAAAATTTCATTCATTTCAACCTTCAAAACGCTGAAATTTTCAGTTGAAATGACATTAATTATATTCAAAAAGAAAAAACTATTGTTGGATAAATGAAAAAAAATTTGTCGAGTTAATACTTCCTTGTTAAAAAAACTAATTTTTTTTATTTAGTTTTTTTTAGAATAATTAATAAAATTATTAACTAACAAAGAAATAATTATTACATAGTTGATATCAAAACCGTCGTTTACGCCAAAAATCGCTTTTCGCTAAAAAAGTTTTACTAATACGGAACAATAAAATACTTTAGTAAAAAAAGTAGTAAAATAAGAATAGTAAAACGAAAATTTAACTAACAAAAAAAATATAAAAATAAAAAAATTGTATTTATTTACAAAATTTACAAAAATATTGAAATATTAGATTAAAATAATAATAAATTAAGCTAAAAATAACAAAAACAGTAGTGAAATAAAAAAAAATAGAAAAAAAAATTTGACTATAAAAAAAATAAAAATAGCAATAAAAAATAGTAAAATAAGAAGAATAGTAAAAAGAAAAATTAGGCATAACAAAAAAAAAGTAAAAACATTTCATAGTAAAATGAAAAAAAGCACTACGAAAATAGGACTAACAAAGTAATAAAATAAAAGGAATAGTAAAAAGAAAATTAAACTAAAAAAACAAACAAATAGTAAAAAAAAGTAAAATAAAAATAACAGTAAAAAATTGGACTAAAAATAATAAAAAAGTAGTAAAATAAAAGGAATAGTAAAAAGAAATTTAAACTATTAAAAAAACAAACAAACAGTAAAAAAGGAAAATAAAAAGAGCAGTAAAAAAATTGGCCTAAAAAAGCAAAAACGTAGTAAAATAAAAAAAAACTGTAAAAAGAAAATTAGACCAGCAAAAAAAGGAAACACTATAATAGAAATAGTAGTAAAATAAAAAAATAGTAAACAAAGGTGAACAAAAAAGAAAAAAATACTACAGTAAAAAAAAGTAGTAAACAGAAAATTAAACCAACAAAAAAGAAAGAAATACTACAGTAAAAAAGTGGTAAAATAAAAAAATAGTAGAAAAAGAATTGGACCAACAAAAAGCAAACAAATACTACAGTAAAAAAAAGTCGTAAAATAAAAAAATAGTAAAGAACACTAACAAAAAACAAAGAAATACAATAGTAACAAAAAATACTAAAATAAAAAAATAGTAATAAAAAACTAAAAAAAATAAAAATAAAAATAAGCAATATAAAGACACCAGACCGGAAATCCTTTTTCGAAAAAAAAGAAGACGAAAAAAAACTAACGATGGAAAAGACTCGATAAATTTACATAGTCGAGTCCTTAATTTGATAAGGATGAATTATATTGTTGATCCTTGTCACATTCTCAAAAGATTGACAAACGTAAATACCTTTTGTGACGAATGAATACTGATCGCACATGGTGAAATTTGCGAACGAGAAATTTCTAACAGTAAAATTTAACAAGTGATTTAAATAGAATGGCCACCCACTAAAGGAAAAAAATTTATTATATTTATTCAAATGACTTTTCGTTTGGACCATTTGATACTATGTGAAATTGTCGAGTATCATCTTCTATCGTTTCGCACAGGCACGTCACACACAACACTTATTTTTTTTTTACAGTTTCGCCAATTGACTATTCAATTATTCAATTAAAAAAAAACCGTTTGATAAATATAAATACTACAGTTATGGGACATGAGAAAAAAAAAATTTGTGATGAATTTGCGAAAATGTGTTCAATTCGAATATAAAGAAATTTTTTGTTGTTTTCAATATAACAAATCGATTAATTTATTATCTAATTTATTCATTTTGCTAATTGTTTAATTTATTCACTCACTAATTTATTTATTTATTCATTTACTAATTTATTTATTTATTTGTTTGAAAATTTATTTATTTGTTTGATAATTTATTTATTTGTTTGATAATTTACGTTTTCGAAGAAAAAAAAATTTATTGAATTATTTGTTTGGTGGATAATTTATTTATTTACTAATTTACGTTTTCTAATCAACGTAACTAATTAATTAAGTAATTAATTTCCCATTTTAGTTACTAATTTATTTATTTACTGTGTTACTTGATAATTTATTTATTTATTCAGTTATTTGATAATTTATTTATTTATTAACTAAATTATTTATTTACTAATTTACGTTTTCTAAGCATTAATTTACGTTTATTGTATAAACATAATTAATTAATTAATTTTCTAATTTAGATACTTATTTATTTACTAATTTACGTCTTCTAAACAAAAAAAATAATTTATTTGCTTGCTAAATAATTTATTCATTTACTAATTTATATTTTCTAAATAACAAAACTAATTAATTAATTAAATAATTTCCTATTTTAGTTACTAATTTATTTATTTATTTAGTCAATTAATAATTAATTTTTTATCAATTAATTTTTTTCTTTGCTAATTAATTTATTTATTTACAAATTAATGTTCTCTAAACAAAAACAATTTATTTGTTTATTTATTTATTTACTAATTTGTATTTTCTA